GTACTTGCTTGCAGGAAGCCTCACAAGCATTCAATCCAGTGGATTCAGAAGCAGATAGTTACTTCCAGAGCAGCTATTGTCATGTCATGTCTTTGAGCTGTAACCACAATTGTTTTTTAGGCGCCTAAAAAATCATCTCAAAAAGTTTGAGGCGCCCCAAAAACATTCGCCAGAGCAGCGACCGTCGTGTCTTTGAGCTGTAAGGCACGACGGTCGCTGTAAGCACAACTCAATTAGTTCCCTCCTTCACCTGTTTCTGTCTAAGTAGCTTGCTCCGCTGCGCTGTCCTCTCTGCTTCCCCTGTGCTCTCTTCTACCACTGTTCTTTCCCCAGATATTGTCCTGGCAGAGTACGTGACCAATGGCAGGGTGCCAGGTGTCATCGAAGTCAACTCCCAGGAACCCATTCTGCCGCCCCTCAAATCGATATTTTCGCCCAAGGTATCTCTGGTGTGGTGCATGTGTGATGTATGTGTGGTGCATGTATGTATGGTGCATGTGCATTGCATGTGCGTTACAAGTGCCACTTAGCTGCAGTGCCTCACTCACACAGAGAGATCTCATCCCTCCTTCTCCCCTTTCTCTCTTCACAGGCGTCCCCTCCACCTCTCCCCGGCACAGGTAGCGAGAACTGGATTGAGTTCGGAGTGCCCTTGGCAAGTAGGCAGCAGTGGCTCACACAGACAGACGTCTCAACACTCCCTTACTCCCATTCCACCCGAACCCCCTCCCCTCCTCCCCTTTCCAGGCCTCTCCCCCTCCTCGTCCAGGCACAGGCAGTGAGAACTGGATCGAGTTCGGAGTGCCCTTGGCAGCAGTGGCGCAAAAAGAGACCTCTCAACCCCCTCATTCCCCCCTCTCCACCCGTTCCCCTCCCCCGCCCCTTCTCCGCGTCCCCTTTCCCAGGCGTCTCCTCCACCCCTTCCCGGCACAGGGAGTGAGAACTGGATCGAATTTGGGGTGCCCTTGGCCGCAGTGGCGCACACAGAGCGGGAGGCTGAGACCATGGCTGATATATTCCGAGGAGAGAAGTACCTGCTTGGGAGGGACGAGCGTACGGGGCAGATGCAGGTGCGTGTGCTGCTGCGCATGCTTGTGTTTTGAGATGGGAGTGAGGCACACAGGTGTGCTGTGCTGTGATGTGCAGTGGGAGGAGGCAGAGGCGGTGGCTGGGATGGGATATGCCGAGGAGAGAAGTACCTCCTTTGACAGGACGAGCGTACAGGGCAGATGCAGGTTCATGCTGTGTGCATCTGTGTGCGTGGGTGGGTGGGAGAAACGGGAATGTGTGGGGGCCTGCAGGTTGTGTTGAAAGAGGGATCTGTCTAGGGACCTCCTCCGGGCGGCCTTACAAATCCGGCCACCTCCGCATGTGTGCCTCCTCGTCTCAATCCCGTCCCTTCCACCCCTGACACTCACCATGCAGGTTGTGTTAGGGGTGTCACGCCGCCGCACGGAGGAAGTCTCGAAAGAGATCCCTCTCTTGAAAGAGCACCATGCAAGTTGAGCTAGAAGAGGGATCTACTTCGGGACTTCCTCTGTGCGGCGCTCCAAGCAGACTACCTCTCCTCTTCCTCTCACATCCATTCCTTCTCCTCTTACCTCCATGCATTCTCACCCCTGTCACTCACCAGGCTGTGTTGAAAGAGGAGGCTCTACCTCGGGACTTCCTCCGAGCGGCCTTACAAGCCGCCTACCTCTGCACGCTTGCCCCACTTTTTTTGAGGCGCCTCACTTTCTCTTAGTGCTGCTGCCCTTCCAACCATGAGTGACAACGGCCTTACAAGCCGCCTACCTCTGCACGCTCGCCCCACACCCCCTCTGCCCCACCATCCACTCTTTCTGCCCACTGCAAGCTGTCTGCATCTAGATTCTCACCTCTTGCTTTCCCACCCACCCCTATCTGTCACCCACCATCCAGGTTCTGTTGAAAGAAGGAGCTCTCCCTCGGGACTTCCTCCGGGCTGCCCTCCAATCCACCTGCCTGCCGCTAGATTGATCTCCTCGTTCCATCGCCATGCCTCCTCACCCCACGCACTCACCATGCAGGTTGTGTTGAAAGAAGGAGCTTTCCCTTGGGATTTCCTCCGGGCTGCCCTCCAATCCACCTGCCACTAAATGATCTCCTCGTTACACCGCCATGCCTCCTCACCCCACGCACTCACCATGCAGGTTGTGTTGAAAGAAGGAGCTTTCCCTCGGAATTTCCTCCGGGCTGCCCTCCAATCCACCTGCCACTAAATGATCTCCTCGTTACACCGCCATTCCTCCTCACCCCACGCACTCACCATGCAGGTTGTGTTGAAAGAAGGAGCTCTTCCTTGGGATTTCTTACGAGCGGCCCTGCAAGGCGCCTACCTCCGCACTCTCTCTCCACACCTCTTGCCTTCTCACCCCTATCAACCACTCACCATTCTTCTTGCACGTAGTGTTGAAGGAGGGGGCCCTCCCAAAGGACTTCCTCTGAGCGGCCCTACAAGCCGCCTACCTCCGCACGCTCTCTCCACACGTCCTCTGCCCCACCATCCACTCTTTCTACCCACCATCCATACAGGTAGTGTTGAAGGAAGGAGCACTCCCTCGGGACTTCCTCAGAGCGGCCCTGCAAGCCGCCTACCTCCGCACTCTATCTCCACACGTCCTCTGCCCCACCATTCATTCCCTCGCCCCCCAAGCGCGCACCCACGTCCAAGCCCGCGCCGCCGAGTTTTCCTCCTTGGGGAAGCAGATCAAGGTGCTGCATGCTCTCCTCTTCCCCTCACATCTATTCCTTCTCCTCTCATCCCCATGCCTTCTCACCCCTGCAACCACCATCCATGCAGGTAGTGTTGAAGGAGGGGGCACTCCCAAGGGATTTCCTCAGAGCGGCCCTGCAAGCCGCCTACCTCCGCACCCTCTCTCCACACGTCCTCTGCCCCACCATCCACTCTCTCGCACCCCAAGCGCGCACCCACGTCCAAGCCCGCGCAGCCGAATTCGCTTCCTTGGGGAAGCTAGAGGTGCTGCATGCTTCGTATGACCGCATGGCTGCGGGGTTTGATGGGTTGTGTGAGGCGCTGAGAGCGAATGGGTGGCGCTGTGACGATGGCTTGTTGGCTCGGCCAGGAGACTGGCGACTGCTGCTGGCACCTGAGGAGAAGAGGAAATGAGGGGTGCAAGTGAAGCCGAATTCGCCTCTGCTGGATTCACTTGCACTGCCCCACCTGAAAATTGCACCCCCAGCTCCCAAAAATCCCTCACTTGTGCCTTTAAAGGCAGGGTGCAACTTCTTAGGAACATTAGGGGGACAAAAATGGCATGTGATTAACTTGAATTCTATTGGACGAAAAAGCTGAAAATCCACAAGAGGACAAACCTCTCGCCTCTGAACTGCCTCAGTCAACCATCTTCCAAGCTATAATACTTCGAAATGAGGGAGGCGATTGGTGGCTGCTGCTGGCACCTGAGGAGAAGAGGAAGTGAGGGGTGCAAGTGCAGCAGCCTTTGCATTCTTGGGGAAATCAGATAGAGGTATTGCATTCTTCGTATGGTGGCCCGGCCGGTGGGCGATTGGTGGCTGCAGCTGGCACCTGAGGAGAAGAGGAAATGAGGGGTGCAAGTGCAACTGCAGCCGAGTTAGCCTCTTTCGAGAAGCTAGAGATGCTGCATGCTTCCTTTGGCCGCATGGCGGGAGGGTTTGATGGGTTGTGTGAGGCGCTGAGAGCGAACGGGTGGCGCTGTGACGATGGCTTGCTGGCGCGGCCGGGAGACTGGCGACTGCTGCTGGAATCAGTGAATAAGAGGAAGTGAGGGAGGGATGGGAGGGCGCATGCCTCATGAGCGCATGGCAAGGAGGGGCGGAGAGGGGGGGGGGGGGGGGGGGGGAGAGGTTTGACGGGCTGTGTGAGGTGGTGAGGGCGAGTGGGTGGCGCCGCGATGATAAACCATTGACTGGGAAACTAGAGGTGGCGCATGTGCTACATGACCAATGGATACATTTTGAGTCAGCTCAAAGCACAGCGGTTCACACCCTCGGATGGACTAGAGGTTCTTTCTGCATGCATTGTATGATCATATGTGAGACGTGTTGATACTGTATTTGCATTTGGATTACTAGCAGCGACTAACCAAAGTAATCAGCACTCAGCTAGTTCGATTATGTAGATTGGAAATTGGAAACCGAAGATAAAGAAGCAGCGCCTCGGAGCATGACAGTCGGAGAACCCAAGTCTGAGTGAAGCGATTGGAGCAACAAAGCAGGAACCTTTCTATGTCCGTTCTCCACCTCCAGAAGCAAGACACCGTTTCGTTGGTTGGTAGCACGTGGTCGCAGAGCAGATGCAGCAGATGTGGAAGGTGGAGTGGTTGGTGGAGCGGGGGAGAGGGGGAGGGAAGGGGGGGGAGGCTGAGGTGAGTAGCGGTGGGGGAGGGGAGCGGCCGGGGGAGGGGCGACTAGGGGAGGAGTGACTAGGGGAGGAGCGACTAGGGGAGGGGCGACTAGGGGAGGGGCGACTAGGGGAGGGGCGACTAGGGGAGGGGCGACTAGGGGAGGGGCGACTAGGGGAGGGGCGACTAGGGGAGGGGCGACTAGGGGAGGGGCGACTAGGGGAGGGGCGACTAGGGGAGGGGCGACTAGGGGAGGGGCGACTAGGGGAGGGGCGACTAGGGGAGGGGCGACTAGGGGAGGGGCGACTAGGGGAGGGGCGACTAGGGGAGGGGCGACTAGGGGAGGGGCGACTAGGGGAGGGGCGACTAGGGGAGGGGCGACTAGGGGAGGGGCGACTAGGGGAGGGGCGACTAGGGGAGGGGCGACTAGGGGAGGGGCGACTAGGGGAGGGGCGACTACGGGAGGAGCCACTAGGGAAGAAGCGACTAGGGGAGGGGCGACTAGGGGAGGAGCAGCAGGGAGGAGCAACCTGGGTGGGAGGGGGACGTGCGGCCGAGGGTGGTACGGCCGGGGGAGGGAGGAACTGGTGCAGGCCTGGGATGGGGATGGCAGCGACTCGTGAGTCGACTCTTCAGTCACCTTGGTGCACACGTGGAACGCATGCAAGGTGCGACAACAGGGACGGCAGATACAGCAGATGCAGAAGGTGGGGCAGGCAGTGCAGGTGGTTCAGGAATGAACTGGTTGCGGTTGGGGAGGGAGATGGCAGCGTCGATGTTGTCAGGCAGGCCTCTGTGGCGGCCCAGCAGCATTACCAGCACGAGAACCAGCTTGGACCAAGGGCTCCACACACCTGCAAGGTGGGGAGAAAATGGGTACGGGGAAAGGAGAGAGGGAAACATGACCTATTACTGACGTGCAACCAGAAGAAAAAACACCCAGCAGCATCACGAGCACGAGCACCAGCTTGGACCAAGGGCTCCACACGCCTGTGGGGAGCAAAAGGGGTACGTGGAAAGGAGAGAGAAACATGACTTTGTTCCGAGTCATCTAAGAGAAAAACTCCGAGCCGCATCATGAGCACGAGCACCAGCTTCGACCAAGGGCCCCACACGCCTGTGGGTAGAAATCAGAGGGATTCGAGGGAAGAAGAGAGAGAGGCATAATATGGTTTTCAGGAGCCTATTGAAAATATCGCCTGGACCTTCTAGTTCCAGGAATTTCCCCCGCGCCTGCGGGGTGTTTTTGAGAATTCTAAATTACGAACCACCTTGGACCAGGAATTCCAGAGAAGGCACTTTGGGAAATTCTACGATATGACGCACCCGAGAAGGCACTTGGGGAATTTATATGATAGGACGCACCAGAGAAGCTGTAAGGAGGGGAGACACAGCTGGGGCCAGCTTCAGGTGGACAGGTGTAGCCCAGGGAGAGACCCACATTGCCGTATCCACTGCCAGGAAAGAACACGTGCAAGGATGGGTATGTTGAGAGATGTTCAGACAGAGTCACCAGAAAGCAGCTGTGGCCAGGCGAAGCACATTACTAAGGCATGTCAAAATTAGAAGAGGTTAAATTTGCCAAATCCACTATGGAGACGCCTCTCAAGCGAAGCACCTGAGAAGACGGGTTTTGAGGCACCGACAAAAAAATAACACACACACACCCACGCACGCACGCACGCACGCACGCACGCACACACACACGCACACGCACACGCACACGCACACGCGCGCGCGCGCGCGCACACACACACACACACACCTGCTCAAAGATGTTGAAGTTGGAGATGTCGTTGGTGATGTTGTCGCTCTCTATAAGGCAGATCACCAGCAGAGCCATTAAGAGCGATCGAGGGCCTAAGCTGTCCCTTGATGAAGGTTTGAACAAGCATGTGGGGACTGGGCGCACTCACTCACCTGATGAGCTCAAAGGCGATGTTAAAGATGTTGAAGTTGGAGATGTCGTTGGTGATGTTGGCGCTCTCTATGAGGCAGATCACCAGCAGAGCCATGAAGAGCATCGCTGAATCGCGCAGGAGCAGCCCTCTGCCCTGGGTGAACACCCCGTGGTCCAACACCCCCCCCTGCATGGATTGTCGAGGGAAGGCACATGGGCAGGTGATGTATAAGGCCAGCTGAATCACTATCTGTTTACATAACTTCTGATCCAGCAGCACACCCCCCTGAATGACTTGCGTCACGCCGTGTGATGTGCCATGTTACGAAATGACAAGCGAGGAGGGATGAGAGTGGCATGGATGGTGGGCGGTGAAGGATGGAAAAGCCCAGTTGTTTCTCAAGAGTGAAAACACACACACACACACACACACGCAGACACAGACACTGACACTGACACACACACACACACATACATACACACACACACACACATACACACACACACACACACACACACACACACACACACACACACACACACACACACACACACACACACACACACACACACACAACAGACTTTAATGACCATCTCGACTCAAAAGCCACTCAAGAACTTGAATGCAGGTCTTCCCAGAACATCCCAATGTCCTCGTCATCGTACACCTCCCTTTGCTCCCTCGACGTCTTAAGCGCCAATTTTTTATTTTTTAGCAGTGGCAGTTTCCCGGGCGAAGGATCTGACTGCTGTTGCATCAGAGGGATGTAATGTGAACTCACCTGCAGATCTTGCCAGAACACCCCAATGTCCTCGTCGTCATACACCTCTCTCTGCTCCCTTGACTTTTGGGTCAACTCAAAAGCCACTCAAGAACTTGCCTGCAGGTCTTCCCAGAACACCCCAATGTCCTCATCGTCTTACACCTCCCTCTGCTCCCTTGACGTCTGCCTCGTCCCCTACACCCCTCCCCATCCCCCACACCCCTCCCCATCCCCCACACCCCTCCCCATCCCACAAGTTCTCACTCATTCGCAGGGACTTGGAACAGAACTTGCCTGAAGGTCTTCCCAGAACACCCCAATATCCTCGTCATCATACACCTCCCTCTGCTCCCTCGATGTCTGCCTCGTCAGGTACAGAGGATACACAGCCACGTACCTGCTCACGTTCGAGAGAGCAGCAGGGAATGGAATGGAAGGGTGGGTGGTTGTGGGGATGGAAAGGAGGGCGGTTGTGAGATTGGATTGGAATGGAATGAAATGGAATGGAATGGGGGCTGGGTGTTTTTTAGAATTTTCAGAAACTCCATGTGAAGCCAGAGTTGGTAATGATATTTTTTTGTGCAAAGGATTCATGGCCACACACCTGAGCAGAGTTTGGAAGGGAGGCTGGGATATGTAAGGGAGGGTGATGTCCCATGCACTCTCACACCATGCCCCTTGCACTCTCACACCATGCCCCTTGCACTCTCACACCATGCCCCTTGCACTCTCACACCATGCCCCTTGCACTCTCACACCATGCCCCTTGCACTCTCACACCATGCCCCTTGCACTCTCACAACATGCCCCTTGCACTCTCACACCATGCCCCTTGCACTCTCACACCATGCACTCACATCATGCCCAGGTATAGCAGCAGCATGGGGGGGCGCAGGAGGCCGATGGCAATTACGTTGAATCCCGCGTTGCGTGTGCTCACAGATTGGAAATATCCTGCCAGTACCTTGGTCCCGCCTGCCATGCGCACACACACAAACACAAAGGGTAGAGAGGGAGAAGAGTGGAGAAACTGTGTTTGAGGTGCCTCAAAAAGCATTGCGTGTGCTCACAGATTGGAAATATCCAGCCAATATCCACCTGGCATGCACTCACACACAACCATGAGGTGGGGGGAATGTGGAGTAACATTGTGTGTGGGGTTTTGTTTTGTTTTTTGTTTTTTTTTTTGGGCAGACAAAGCCCCCACCAAAAGGAAGAATTGCTCTCTTCCTAGACACATCCTCAGGAAATACGTACGTAATCCTTGTTTGTTGGTCTTTAGGTGACTTTTGAGTCGACGCAAAAGTTCCCTCAGGAAGACAAATCCTCTGGGAATATATACGTAATCCTTGTTTGTTGGTCTTTTTCGCATACCCGCAGTCCACATGCAACTCACTGGTGAAGCCGTCAATGGCAGGCGAGGTCCAGTCAGTGGCACAGAAGAAGACAAACTCCGTGAGATTGAACGCGAGCACTGTTAGCACGAGCATCACGGTGGAGCGCGGTGGGAAGAGGTGCGTGTAGCACTTGCGTGGGTGCACGAGAAGGTAGGAGTAGACGAACTGAGGGGCACGGGGTGAGGGGGGCGAAAATCACTTGTCAGTATAAGAAGAACCCAGTTTTATGAGTCTGCTTTTGAAGCACCTCAAGAGAGGTGCGTGTAGCACTTGCGCGGGCGCAAAAGAAGGTACGAGTAGACAAACTGCCGGCCAGGGCAAAGGGTGAGAGAGGGTTGCAGACGCTTCTCGATGTAAGAAACGCCGACTGCAATGAGTCTGCTTTTGAGTCACCTCAGAAGAGGTGCTAATGGCATTTGTGCGCCTGTAAGATGAGATGCGGTAGGTAGGTGTGGACAAACTGAAGGGGTCAACAATGTAGGTGTGGGGGTAGCAGATAGATTTTTCAAAATAGGAACCCTGCGGTGTAAGAGACTGTTTTCACATGACCTCAACAGGGGTGCACGCAGTGTGTGTGCAAATGCAGGAGAGTGTGAGTAGATGTTCTGAGGGATCACACTGCAGGATGGTACAGTAGAAGAAGAAAAAAGGAGGTTGTTTTTTAGAATTGATGTGCAGCCTCGAAAACAACCTGCAGGATGGTACAGTAGAAAAAAGGATTGCCAAGTGTGCGTGCAGTGCAACACAGGGAGGGAGGGAGCCAGGAACAAGAAGAGAGGTGACTGGAGAGCGGTGGGGGACCTAGTGCGAAAACGGCAACCATGTGAAGGGAAAGACGGGTAAGGGTGCAGTCATTAGCCATCTACGAGACCGGTATGGTGCGGTGCAGAAGTTCCCTCTTAGAGTGATCAAATTCAAGAGGGTGCAGTGCGGTGCAGACCTTACCCTTTTCTCTCCTCGTGAGAAGTGCCGGAGCAGAAGCAGGAGGGCTCGCAGCGTGGGCGGGTACATGATGGTATTGCCAATGAGAATGAAGACCGACGTGACGATGACCAGAGCTGGCGCCCTCACGAACCCCATTAGGTTATCGTTCAGCAGTGCCGCCCCTGTGTTGGAAAACGTCGACATAGCCTGTGCGGGAAGGAGGAGGGAAGCATGGGGGCCGAGGGGTCTATTTTTGAGGCGCCCAAAATTAGGTTATCGTTCAGCAGTTCTGCCCCTGTGTTGGAAAACGTTGAAATCGCCTGTGTGGGGGGGAGGGAGGAAGTATGGGGGCCGAGGGAGGGACAAGTGAGGGTAGATGGAGGGGGGATGACATGAAAGTTGAGTGAGTGACATGGAAATCGGCTGCCTGGGATGGAAGGTGAATGACTGGGATGGAAGGCGCCTGACTGGCAAGAAGGGCAGCTGACTGGCAAGAAGGGCAGCTGACTGGCAAGAAGGGCAGCTGACTGGCAAGAAGGGCAGCTGACTGGCAAGAAGGGCAGCTGACTGGCAAGAAGGGCAGCTGACTGGCAAGAAGGGCAGCTGACTGGCAAGAAGGGCAGCTGACTGGCAAGAAGGGCAGCTGACTGACATGGAAGGCACAGAAGAAGACGCTGTTGACGCTGTTGGCCTGCAGATTTGCCTTGGCGGAGGCAGAGAGGCTAACGATGAGCAGCAGCAGGAGGAAGGCAGTGAGCAGCGATGCGGCGAGGAATGCTGGCACCAGCCAGCTTAACGTCTCCAGTGCCCTTGATAGGGATAGGGACGGTGGGATGGGGATGGGGATGGGGATGCATTTTGAGGCGCCTCAAAATACGCCTCAAAATATGATGCGGCGAGGAATGCTGGCACCAGCCAGCTTAACGTCTCCAGCGCTTCCCCCTCCCCGCCCTTCCCCGCCGCTGCTGCTGCGCAGATCCACGTCAGCGGCGTCGTCAATATCCAGAGTCCCGGAAAACCGGGGGACGGTGCTGGTTGGGGGAAGGGGAGAGAGGGGGGACTTGGCTTGGGGGGAGCGGAAAGGGAACAGGGGGGTTCAGTGGAGGCTGAGTGTGATCGGCGGAAGCAAGTCAGGGGCTGTGGGGTGGGAGATTAAAAAGGAAATCGACTCAGAAGAGAAACACGGGTGGTGGGGGAGAGATGCGTTGGACAGGAAATTGGGGAAAATGAGGACTCTCGAGGCCTCGGGAGGATGTGGAGAGGTATGGAGGACAGGGGCGTGTAGCGGTAACGAGTCCCGGCCAGTAACGCGTACCCATAGAGAGTGACGAGGGTGAAGCAGTTGGCACAGCAGCGCGAAAACGGGGAACTTGTTGCGATTGTAACCAGCTGTCGCGTGCGCTTGCGACAGCACCTGCGACAGCTTCATGAATGCAATGGCTGCGTACGCGTTTGTAACTGAAGCGTGTTTTATGAGGAGCGGTCGAGCATGGTCGGTAACGGTCGCCTGTCGTCAGTTATTCGCCGCATTTCGTCATACATACGCCACAAGATTGACACATCCTTCGCGCTTCTCTCGCATTCGATGCTCACTCTATGGACCAAGGCCGTCCCAGGACCTGCATGTGTACAACTACTCGTAGTAGTCGCGAGTCAGCGAGACAAGCGGCTCGCACTCGCTTGGCCGCCGCCTGCTCGCCGCCTGTGCTCCGAAAACCTCCGACGAGACCTGCACGTCGCCGGAGTGAACCATGGGTAAAAACATTGTCACAAAGCGACGATGTAGTAGGAGTACTAGTAAATGCATATCGACAGGAGAGAAAAAAAAAAAAACAAACAAACAAACAAACACCACATGCGCGCGTATATGAGTCTACAAACGGGAAAACCCTGGGGGTCGATACGAACGGCTTCTACGGCTTCTACTAAAGCTAACTAGTAGTCCTAGTTCTACTACTAGTACCTGGTGCTGCTGTGCTACTACAAAGGACGGGCGGTGGGTGGAGGGTGGTACTACTACTACTAGGTGGCGCACCGAAGATGATGTGAGAGAGCTGGGAAATTTGGTTGAAGGGTTATCGTGAAGCTGGGTTCGATTCCTGGGCGCCTTCTCTTGCAGCCTTGGATGTGAAACCCTAATTTTAACTCTCGGTTCAGAACGTTCAGAATGTTTCAAACGCAAATTGAACTGAAGGACGCGACAAACGCTTAAAGCGAAAAGGTGTATTGCGCCTTAAAGAATCATTCAACTGTTTGTGCAGAGTCAAGCTTCAAGCTCAAACAGTTCCTTGCCTAAGCGTCGTTTACAGCTCAGAAACAAGCAGGATGAGCGGGATTGGGTGGGGAACACAAACTGTAGAGTTCGGAGATTGAGAAAAAAAGAATCGCAAAGCGCACACCTGCATTGTCCAACAGTCGTAAGCAATCACGCTGCCAATCCAGCCCAAGCGCAAAAATAACAGCTGGGTCAAAGTCGTGCTTCAGGTCGTGAAATAAACCCATGCCCACTGGTTTTGTTTTCGCAACTGCTGCTGAGCTTGAGGCTCGCCTTCTACCCAGAGAACGAAAAAGCAGGAGGGTGGAGAGGGCAGGGGCCAAATTTTCGTGCTTAAGTTCGTTAAAACATGCAGGGTGGTGGTGACGAACGACCTAGGTTAGCAAAACAGCAGACGGTCTATACTGAGCAGCAATAACGGGTGCGAACAAACGAATGAGAGTAGCAAGGGCGAATAAATAAATACAGCTCAACAAAACAAACAGCCAACCAGAATCCCGAAAGAGAATCAGATAACAAACAGAAGCTGAGGAACAAAAATCGCCACGTGCTATTCTTCCCAACTGTACAGTGCCCTAGCCCCGGCGTTAGCCAATAGATTGTTGGCTGCAAGCGTCAAGCTCGCAAAGTGTACAGCGTGCGCACCCAGCAGCGAGCGAGCGCGGACAAACACAAAACACCACTTGCGCGAAGTGTACGGTGAATCGTTCTGCACCTGTCGTAAGCGCGCCGAATCAAAAGTGAGGGCTAAGTTAAAACCGAGTGGCAGACGAAAACACGTGCTTAAGTCTGTGTGACGAGGAAAGGGAAGTCGAAGACAAGGCGAGCCAGGACTTAGCAAAACACAAGTCAAACTACACAGACACGGTGGGAAAAAAACAGTTGAGCATGTGCGAGGAGGAGGAGAATACAACTACGGTATATTGCTAGGCCTCGATAATGACCATTGAAACCAATGTAGATGCAGAGGATACTGACATGTTAACAAAACAAGTGTTCATTCATGTGTAGCTAACAAAATCAAAAATACCATGACAATCAAATTTTGCAATCCATGCAAGGAAGCCCCAAGTTTCCAAAAGTTCAATTACTGAAAGCCATAACACCTTTAAATATATCTGCAACTACCTATCGAGATTCGCAACAAGTGCCACCACCATCACCGCCGTTGCCACCCTTCTCGGCTCCTGTACATCCCGCCTCTTTTTAGTACTGATCAGTGTATTTGCGCCATGAGCCGCGAAGAACGCACGCGCGGAGAGCACGAGGTTGATGGGGCTCCAGGGGGAGAGACACGGCGGGCTGTCCTCGGTGAGAAGCTGCCAGGAAGCATGCGCCTGCGCAATGATTGCCAGCGCCACATCAGCAGCGCCCGCCCTCTGGTTGAGCCCAAACTCGTTCTCCTCGTCACCTGGAGGGGAGGAAGAGAAGGGATTCGGAGAAGAGAGGAAGTGATGGGAGGAAGAGGGTTGTGGAGGAGAGGTGGGAACAAGGCAAGGAGTGCCAAGGAGAACGAAGCTATGATTGAGGGTGGGGACGAACGGGAACTCGTCCTCCTCATCGTCTGTTGCGAGCGAGGGTGGGGAGACCAGGGGAGGAGAAAAAGGGAGTGGGAAGAGGGCCGGGTGTGTGGGGAGGTGACAGGGTGGGGAAGAAGGCAGAACGAGTCAAGGGGTGGAAAGGAACGGGGTTGAGCCCAATCTCGTTCTCCTCTCCTCATAGCATGCATCAAGCGAGGCGATGGGGATGGGGAGACAACGGGTGGGGCAGGAGGGAGGGGAAAGGGGACAGGAAATGTAAAGTGGAGGAAAGGAAGAGGAAGAAGCCTTTTAAGGGGTAACGATAGAATTGGTTCTCTGATTTAGCCCAATCTCCTTCTCCTCGTCGCATGCAGCGAGCGAGGTGGTGGGGAGACAACGCGGAAGGGAGAGCAATGAAAGGGGTAAAGAGGGAAGAGGCTCTCTAATTGAGCTCACACTCGTTCTCCTCTCCTCGTCGCCCGCAGCAATCCAGGCTGTGGGAAGGAACCCGCAGAGGCAGGGCGACAGGTGGCACAAAGGCCGCGGGGAGGGAGTGAGGGAGGGGACGGGAGGGAAGGGGAGGAGAGGGGCAGTGACAGGATGAGAGGGTAGGGGGGATGGGAGAACGAGGCTAGGTGGCACAACGGCTGGGGGTAAGGGAGTGAGGGGAGAGGGGGGGAGGGAAGGGGAGGAGAGGGCCAGTGACAGGATGAGAGGGTAGGGGGTATGGGAGAAGGAGGCTATGAGTGGAGAGGATACGGGTTTCTGGTTCTGAACAAGCTTGTTCTCCCCGTCGTCTGTAGAAAGCGGGCTGGCAGGGAGATAAGCAGGAGGAGGAGGAGGAGGAGGAGGAGGAGGAGGAGGAGGAGGAGGAGGAGGAGGAGGAGGAGGAGGAGGAGGAGGAGGAGGAGGAGGAAGAGGAGGAGGAGGAAGCGGGAAGCAGCGGAGGAGGAGGAATACGATTTGGGGGAGGAAGCGGGAAGCAACGGAGTTAAAAAATACCATTTGTTGAGGGGAAGAAAGAGGGGTGGGAAGAGGAAGAACGGGACAGAAGGGAAGGAGAGATTGAGAGGAAGGAAAGGTAGGAGAGGCAGGATGAACCTGTTGGAATGAGGGACTTGGTGCAATGAGCGAGGTATATGGGTCTAGGGGGATGGGAGAGAGACAGGGAGGGGCAGAAGAAAGGGTACAAGGCAAGAAGGAAGGGTAGGAGGTGAGAAGGGAACGAGGGCTTAGCATTTCAAACGGTTTTGTTTTGTGGGAGAGGGCTATTGAGATGCCTCAGTGATGGGGGACTTGCATCACAAGTCACAAACTCACGCTGTCACGGCAGGCAGGTCAGCAAGCAGAGCAGACAGCTTTGCTCCTCCAGAACCACCCACCCCTCCCCCTGCTGCCCCCCCTCCCCCTCTTCCACCTCCGTGCGCCAACCCCACCCCTCCCCCGGCTAAAACAAAATATGGTAGCGCGAGGGCCGACTGAGCAATCATCTTCACTACCGAGGAAGGGAGTAAGTTGCACGAGGAGGGGTGATACGTACAGTTAGAAACTGCAGAAAGAGAATCTGCCTACCTCTCGTGAGCGTGCCAAATCAAATCTGAGGGCAGAGAAAGAAAAGAAATGATAGGCAGACAAAAACCACTTGCATCACTTTGTGTCACAACATAAGGGGAGTCGAAGAGAAAAACGAGCGAGGTCTTAGCCAAACACCAAAAGAACACTGCGAAGACGGTGGGAAGAATAGATGAGCAAGTTTTCCCCGACAAAATTCCACTGACTAACAGTCGTTTTGCGCAAGGTGAGTTGAGGGTGAGGAGAGATATATTTGCCACGTCTGATTCTGTCCTACCCGTCTT